GATGCACACTATTCTCTAACAGAAAACCTTATTGTGCCTTACCTATGTGCTTTTGTGGGCACCATGTTTATGAAGAATAAAATGATTTGTTATCTGAAGAGAATAAATTTTAAATTCTCAGTTTATGTCTCATGCTAACGTGTGAAAATATAAATATATATAAAGTAACCAATCTTTCTGTGTTTTATGTGCATCATAGTGATTTATCTGAGCTTAGTCATCCCCACCTTAAAACCTGTTGCAAGAGTGAATGTAAATAATTGTTGTGACATTTTAACAGGTCGCCTTTTGATGCAGATGCATCTTTTCTTGCTTCTGAAACATGTTTCATGTAAACATTGTACATTTATTATTGTAATATATACTATTATGCAGCTTATTTTACCTGAAACTGTTAAGCTGACCAAGATTCTTCCCTGCAAGACAGATGGGAATGTGTATAATAATTAGATATTTGAGAAGTTCTGAAGTTTGATGTAATCTGTTACTTGTTCCATTTAAAAAAGGAAAACATTCTAATTAAAAATTTATTAGGTTTTTTTTTAATGTGTCTTCGCCTCTAAAATTTTTTTGGTACCCCCATGTCTGTCTGCCTGTCTATCATGTCGTATCTGTTTTGCTGGCTCGCTCTTTTCCTCCCCTCCCCTCCCCATGAAAATAGATACCTTTATTTTAAATCAACTTCATTTGGAGATTTATGAATACATGTGTGTGCTTATAAAGATGGAAGACCTAAAGTTGGATTTAAATCTTTCATTCTTTAATACTTTGGGGTTTTTTAATGAGTATGCTTTCATTCAGCTTTCAGGTATTTGGATCAAAATGGGGCAAGAATATAAATCAGTTGCACCTCCATTGCTAAGCACTATTTAATTCAACTAGACTCTTTCCACAGACTTTCTTTAAAAAGAGGCAATTCTTTTACACATTCTAGCTTAAACTCTATCTCATCATAAACCAGTAACAGACAGTTCCTGAGTTAGCTACTTTGAAAAGCATTAGTTTAGATTTTTGATGTTTTAATCAAGCAAAAAGAAGACTTGATTCATTAGTCATATATAGACTTAGTTGCTAACAAATATTGGCAATATGTTAGGGATGCAAAGATGAAAAACACGTAGCCCAGAACACAAAGTAAGAAAAAAGGAATTCTGGGAGTATAGAGAAGGTATCTTAATAGAGAAGATAGCAGAACAGGTAAGCCAACAGCTAAACCGTATTTTAATTCATTTTTTATCCTATTAAGCACCTCTTAATTAGTATAGGTACAGTAATAAAAATCTCTTTTCCCTTAAGTTCTCAGAAGAGAGCTTTAGTTCTTCTAACAAGATGATAAAAGTTAATGTGTGAATACT